GGTCACGTATGCCATTCACAAAGGTTTCGATTTTCATACGGTCCAACAATGGGTGATTCTCTCCTGGATAAGTCATTAGCACCAAACGTTCCACCTCAGCTGCAAAGTCTTGTAACGTCTCGTTTGCCCTCTGTACTCTTCCCCTTAGTTCCATAAGGTAGATGTTTTGTTTATGTTCGCCACCGTACTTACGTTCCAGTGCAGCAATAACATCTTCATAGTTGTTTCTAGAAGCGACAGGAATACTCTGTATAACATCAGCAGCACTGCCCTTCAATGCCAGAAGTAGTGCAACCGCTTTGTCGCTGTCGTTCCACGAAATTCTAGAAGCCACTGTCTCGAACTGTAATTTGAAAACATTGAATGACGTAGAGCCGTCGAATACAGGAGGTTTGATTTTTAGTGTGTTATCAGGAACTCGCACCGGACTACCTTTGATTTCTAGTTCCGAAATTTTCTTCTCCAGATTCGTAAACCTGTGGTCTTGGGCCAGAAATTTCTCGTCAACCGACTGTACTTTCTTATCCAACTCTTTAATTTGGACCTCCACGGTTTCCACTCTCATTCCAATAACTTCTGTAATGTACTCGAGTTTCTCGTTCATTATTCTCGAATTTTCTTCGAACATTCGTCTCGATTTTTCTTCTGACTTTCTGGAATTCTCTTCGAACATCCGTCTCGTGTTTCTGGAATTCTCTTCGAACATTTTAGCCAGCATTTCTCTGAAATCGTCACCCCTGGCAGCTACTGACGAGACTTCATCCTTACTGTCAAACTCATATGTATCGATGTTCATACCACGGCGCTCGAACTCATCCAACAGACGTTTTTGTAGTTCAGCCTTGTTGCCAGTAGAGGACAATTCCAATTTATTGAGCTCCTTCTTCAAGTCGTCCACTCGTAGAACTTCATCGTAGTACTATCGTAATCTCACTTCCGACACCAATTGTTACGTTCTTGGATTTTAGTTAATCCCGTGTAGTCGTTGTTTTATTTCCCGATACAATTCGTACCAAATAAAACGCGGGTTCTTTCTGATTACGATTATTACAATGATTTTATTCACACAACTTTACTTTGCACTTTACTTTACTCGACGGTTTCAATTCGCGATCTGATTCACAACTGACTCACTGTCTTTCCATTTCCTCTATTTATATGAGCCCTGCCTGTCCCTACAGAAGTTTCTAGACGATCTGGTAACACCTAGATTACGCACAATCTACCAATGCAACAAACACATACAAACTTACACTGAGTGAACAATAACAACAACACATATACAGGCGAGGGAGTAACAAAGGAAGAGGAATTAAGCGATCATCAATGATGACGTTTACCAAGAATTGTACGTCAATAACAAAATAGACAATGAAAGAGGAAATGGAAGGATGTAGAAAAATCTATACAGTAGTTGTTGTTGTGAAGTTATTCGAATAAACTGCGTAGTAGAAATTTACGTTACAATTCAAATTCTTAAATTAACGGAATTCATCTAAATTAACATAAATCTAAAGTTATATTCGTAACATAATGTCATGAAAAACGCAAAAAATCGTAACTTCATTAATATATTTCAGTTATCAAAAGATCAGACAAATTCAAACATTTAAGTAAAAGTCTATCTAAAATAACTTATGTGTAAAAAATTTACACATTTATTTTATTATATAGTCAACTATGTAAATTTTGAAGCGCTACACAAACTTATTAACATATAATATATGTTAAGGGAACCCCCCTCCCCCCATTCACGATTTTTTATTTTTAAGATTTTAAATGGGCTGGTAAATGAATACTAATGCTTGTTAAGGTTTGTAACTTTGCACATATGTATATATTTGAAGATTTAAAAAGGACAAAAAAATAATTTACAAAAATTTGTTGTTGTTATTTTTTGTGATCAAAGAAGTCCTTATTTTTGATGGCGGGCATGATAACTCCTCACTGGAACATCGGAATCGTGAAATTCCAACGGTGTTAGAAAGAGTACATGTCTGGCTCTCGTATGAACTAGGATTGTTGACTTCGCGCAAAAATTAACAAAATGGCGAACAAAATTGGAAAATCGCCACCGCCAATATCTCCATGTTTAATTTTTATGTTCATGCTTTGTATTTAGCGGTGTTAAAAGTTTAAAAATACGACTTAATTTTTAAAATTTGTTATTTCTTTTATTTTATTTTCAAAGTTTTGCATAAAAAAATGTCAAAATTACCTACAGTGTAATGGGACAAGCTTATGTAAAACTATTTAAAGTAAACTTGATACATGCTATTCGATGTGCCTCTAATCTGATCTAATCTCACTCGGACATTGGATGAGTATTTGGTGCAAAATTAACCTGAAGTCGGTCGAAAATACAAATCGGAGCATTGTCTGGAACTGCACCAATTTTTACAAATCTTAATCTGGATCGATTTCAGCAAAACTTCAAACCCGTTGGCTATACTAACATCAGTACGTTTTGCAAAATGTTGTGCCTTTGGTGACTAAAATATGTATGGGAACTATATCTGAACCAATACTTGACAATTGTGACATACACAATTTTTTGACAATTCTTAAGTGTTTGGTGCACCATTTACTTGAAATCGAACGAAAATATATATGGGAGCTATTTCTAAACCTGAACCGATTTCTATAAATCTTTGCATACGCCTATCTGTACTTAATTGAGAACGCTTTGCAAAATTTCGTCTTGGTCGGGAGTTTGATGCACCGTTTATATGAAATCGGACGAAACTATATAAAAGAGCTATATCTAAATCTGAACCGATTTCAATAAAATATAATGGACGTCAACCTATAGTCATTTCAATACGATGTCCAAAAGTATGTCTCAATCATACAAACATTGGGAGTTTGGTGCACCATTAGCATAAAATCGAACGAAACTATATATGGGAGCTATATCTAAATCTGAACCGGTTTTCTCCAAAATTTGCAACTTGTACTTTATGTACAATAAAATTACGGGTATACAAATAGGTATGATAAAGAATTATCGGTGTATACATGTGGTGTATTTTTGTATAGTACACTTAAGTCTGTTTTTACACGGTAGATTGGTTCCAGAAGAAGCCGTGTAAAAAAGACATTGATCTTATACATAAAGGGAATTCCCCTAAATTAGTGCTATTCACATTTGCTTTGACCAGTAAAAATTGTTTGTACGCGCTAAAGTGGAATTCATTTAAATCTGGTTTCAGACTTTTTTCTTTCATAAATACTTTTTTGTGATATGAACATACTTCGCAAAAATTAAATTTGACAAAAAAAAAATAAGTACATAAAATTTCAAATCGTGCTAAATGGAATAAAATCGTCAAAAAATATATATGTATATATATTAAATTTTGAAACCATGTTATATCAAAACCGTGTAAAAACAGACTTAGGTGTAGTTTATATGTTTTGTGGAATAAAACCCTCGGCATCGGGAAGTATACCTGTATACAAAATGTATGGTCGAGTCGAGTATGGTTATAGCGAACAAGTAGGGACCAAACAAATTAGTTCGTTATAGAAGAAGCTCGTTATATACAAGGTAAGGCAAAACATAGGCATAGCGGAAATAATATATAAACTGGTAGGTTTTGTGTCCATTTTGACAACTCTTAAACTGCTTATATTTTTCATTGATGAACCTGACATTACAACTGGCATTCTTGTAAAGATTGACAGTGTTCACATAAAAAAATTAAGTTTTATGAGGATTGTCATCGTTCAACATTAAGTATATTTGGAGCAAGTTCGTTATATCCAAATTAAAATATATGAAACTCAAAGTTGTAATGTTCTTAAAAATCTTGTAAGTCATGATTTAGATTAGGCGAGTTTACTTGCGGCAAGTCTTTGTTTGTAGGAGAGAGGGGCAAGGGGAATAGAAATGGAAAAAAATGCTTGTACCGACAATTTTCTGGCAATTCGTTTTGTGTATTTCGTATTTGTTGACATTTATATATATTTAAATGTGAAAAAACAACAAATAGAAAAATATTTTGGAAACCGAATTGCCTTGTATAGACGCATGAAGCAAGTTTAAAAGAGAGCGATAAAAATCGCCGCAAGTAAACTCGCCTAATATAAATTAGGACTAATAGTCCAAATGTGCTTCACAAGACGATATAAATTAAAATTGAATTAAATGTTGACAAAATATGAATATTTTCGTTTTGACGTCTAATATAAATTTGAATGTAGGTAGAGGTTTCAAAATATGATTTGACAGCAAAATTGATACTCAGCTGTCCATACTGTCCGACCTTATATAGGCCTTGCTATAGCCTACCATGAATAATTGTACAATATGAGTGTTAACAAAGGTGGACAAGGTCTAAAGTTTTGAAATTAGACTATCACGCGACATGAGAGTCGAGGACAATTGAGTTCCTGCATTAGAAAAATTAAAACTTGCCTTTGTGATGCAGGCGTTAGGACAATTTTGAAACAAATTATAAAATTCGCGAATGAAAATAATAATTTAATTTCTTTTTCATGCTATAATTTTTCGATTTTTTATGCTTAATCCATTTTATGGTAAACATGGTTCGTTATTTTTGAAAATGTAACCAAAAAGCTCTGACTTCAAATATACATGACTTTAGAAATCACTGCAAATAATGGCAAAACTCTGCGAATTGTGTGAACAATTTGAACTCTTTTAAAATTTCAAAATTGTTACCTGTTACTTCACGTATTCAAATTCAATTATGGGAAATACAACTCATTAAAGGAGTTTTATTTTTTTCGTCAGAGTATGAAATCAAGAATATTAGTTAGAGAATCATCCCTTTGCCTATAAGGTCGCAGATTATATAAGGTCGCAGATTATTTTTGACGAAAAGAATGAAAGTCCTGAAATGATTTATATTTTCGGCGGAAGAAGTAACACTCCTCCGTTAAAAAATAAATAATGAAAGTGTTTTTTTATTTATATTTTTTTATTTTATAAAATAACAAACAAGTCGTGTTTTTATTGTTTTTGTTGTCAAATTTTACACGTTATCAGACGTTTCATAAGACTTGCAGAACTGAATTACGGGATCATTGATAGTTTCTTTGACTTGGTTAGCAAAAATGAAATCTAAATGGCCCCATTTAGGATCATCTATCAATTTGAAGTATTTCAGGTTGACCAAGTGATCGGGTAAACGTTGAATATCCAAGTAGGTTGCAGATCCGTCGGCCATACCATAGTAGATGTACATATCGGCAGATATATTGTCGAGGGGATAATTTGGTGGCTCCGATTGACCATATACTTTCATATTTTTTGTGGGGCCATAATCAAACTGCCGGAACTCATTGCTAACGTATTCTTGAATGTAGTGGATGCCTTGGTTGGACGAGATACCTGCTGGATGTGTTTCGACGAGCTCCGGTAGTATTGTCTAAACGAGAGCAAAAAATTCCGATAGTCAGATTCTAAGCAACACGTATTTCACAAAGTAAGCACTTACGTAGTTCAGATTGGTGTTGTCAGTGCCGGCCCACATGAGGAACAACACGTTGCAGTATTTAGCAAACATGGGATCGCCACCACATGCAGTATCGAGCAATCGCTGGACGTAGTAATTATGGGGAATGAATTCCTGTAAACGTAAAAATACAAATATATGAATATCAAAATTAAGTTTTGAAAAATAAAGCAGGACCCCCACTCATTCTCAAGTTCTAATTTGGACTAGAAAGAAAAAAAATTGTTGTTTTTTGTAATTACAGAAGTCCTTCCTTTCGAGGGTGGCAAGATTGCCGATCGCTCGAAAATTGGCAAAATGGCGGACCTAGGAAAATGATTAATTAATAATTTTGTTGGAAAATCACCTATTAGATTTGGTTTGAACTTATTTCATACGATTGCTATGTAGGAACCGATTGGATTAAAAGATTTTGAGTTATCTTGTCCGCCAATCTTGTTTCGAGAAAAAACGCGTTTAAAGTTTGATAAACACTCTCACTGCCTCAGGTCGCTAACACAATAAATCGCCTATATATTCATGAGTGTTGAGATTTTCACTTAAAGTATTAATGAGAAATTCTTGAGAAGTTGCAGGTCATATTGAATAAAAATAAAAAAATCGATTTTTTTGAAATCGCGAATGTAAGGGGGTCCCTTTAAATAGCTGTTTAAGATCATAGCAAAATATAATTAAATTCGAAATAATACAGTATGTCTGCTACAAAAAATACAACTCAAGAACAACCACATAAAAACTTCATACGGGAGGAAATTTAAAGAATAATTTCGATTTTTATGCGTACCAAATTTTCCTGTTGGGTAATTAAAAAAACACATAATTTATATGTTCCCGCAATGCAAGAATGTACCACTTTTTACTCAGATAACAAATTTTCCTTTGTGATATCGAAAAAATAGTAAAAACTATTAGATTCTTGCTGAACCGGAACAGACTTAATTGACACGCTTATTAATTGTGTTGGAATCAAATCAGACGTTTTCTTCAGTGTCATACTAATGTCAGTTTTTCCCACAAGAATTTCCCGTATAATGCGACCACATACAAAAATATGTATTGAGGATTCTATGAAGTATGTAATCGGTCGGTTGCTATATCCTGGCGTGCAGTAATTTGTACCATGATTGCAACTACCGTGTTGAGATATACTCACCTGAGAACCTAATATATCGGATCCGATTCCGGGGGTTCCAATATAAGGGGCCAATCCAACGACCATTCCGTCTGTAACATTGCCCATGAATATGGGTGGAGCTAACATGTGTGCTGTCTTAATTTTCTCGTTGTATTCCGGTCTCATACTGGTCATGACAAAGAAAACCGTTGTGCCTTGCGAATGACCCGCGTAATGTATTTTGGACTCGCCTGTTTCCTCCAAAATATAATCAATCATTGCTGGGATATCAGTGTAGCCAATTTCATGCCAGCTGAATTCCCAGAAGTACGGATGATTTATAGAAATCTTGGTATTGTTTCGCGAATATATGTTTCCACGAGCATTACCCAGCCACACATCGAAGCCACTATCGGCAAAGTTATATGCCAATGCGTTATCCGGTCCATTGAGCAAGAAACAATCCGAACAAGAGAACAGGCCATGTTGTAATAAGACGACTGGCTTTTTGGTGTTCTGGTTTTGCAATTTATGTGAGTAAGGTATGCGGAAAAGGTTTAAAACATAACCATCAGGAGTTTCGACGTAGTGCGACTCAGCCGGATATCCATGTTCCCTAATGCGATCAGCCTGAAATACATTCAACACAGGGAATATTAATCAGTGCGCGTAAATGTTTGTCACTCTTTTTGAAACGTGTCACTTACAGACGTCTTGACGGGTTTAAACGGTATGTCGATGTAGGGATTAACTTGCACCTCAGCTGCTGCTGTAGCCAGCACCAAACCCAAGATCAACAGTTTTGGCAACATATTCGTTTCGTCGTTAAACATAAACTGATGAAGTCGAACTGAGAATGCTACTTATCAATGTTTCGAGGGCCCAGCAGTGTGCAGCGTGGATAATCTTATCAGAAGATAATGTTTATATTTACTACTCAATATTAAACCGACCGTGAGGGGTATATGTTTTATTGTATAATCGATCAATATTATCGCCCGAATATATAATTCGGTATGTGAAACAGATTTATGACATGAGAAAATATTCTTTTTTACGAAAAACAGATTTACGCAAATTCTGCTGATGCATCATTTATATTTAGTGTATCGAACAACTAGGCTATGGTTCCGATATGGTTTAACAACCGACATTACACTAGAGGGCGCATAAATGCAATTTAGTCAGCAATTGACATGCAATTTTTGAAATTCCTTCCAGTGTTGTAATGTATTTGTATGTGTATAAAAATGTAAATTTTATGAGATGTACCAATTTTGGACATTGCTTTTGTTTGTGGCAGATTGATATTTTTTATGGATTTTTTACGATTTATATTTTGATGTTCACCAACAACACATTTCGGGGGGATGAATGTCCTTGGTGAGTATATGAAAACCCCAAAAGTTCAATGCGCAAATACTAGCCCTACTAGGAGCGCGTTTAGACTAGACGATTTCAAATGTCAATTCCATGGCGTATACGTCACCTTAATCCTATTCACAAATACTGTGGATTATGTTCGACTTGTATGCTATGGAATAGACATTGGAGATCGAGTGGATTTCGTAACTCTAAACACACTTTTTGGCAAGATCGACTTCACTGCGTCTGTTTTGTTAATGATAACTTCCGAGCAAACTGTGATAGGATGCTCCAATATATCTATCAACATACACTTTACAGGATATCAGTGTCCACCATGGCCCAATTAACAGGTCGTGTAAGAGGCGAAATGATTTCGCCCGAAGTGTCAAAATTTGACTTAATCGTGTGAAGGCGTAAACAACAAATTTGACAGTTTCAGGGATTTTCTACCAAAATGCCCGATAAAATTCGCCTCTTACACGACCATTTAATAGGACTATGGTATCCACCTACTTTTAAAATGGCATCACAGGTTCATTACATTTTTACATATGAGCTACAAACAGCAATTGTTTACGTTGTGCAAGGGCGCAATCAAAACTGGGCAACTATCACCAATAAAGATAGTATAGATTATCTAATCTCATGTTCGCAGAGTTTTTTAAAAAGTACCCCCACAACGAGTCAACATGACAGGCTCGATCGTAAATAAATTAACATTTATTTATTTGAAACTAGCTGAACAGCCGGCCAAATGTTAATTTATTTATTCCAATATTCGATATTTTAAATCACTTATACAGTAAAATCTCACTAATCCGCACAATTGACTCCAATACTGATATTTCCGCTTGATCACATTTTTAAATTGATTTAAAATTAATTTTTTATGAATTTACTGATTACTTCAATATCTTTATAAAACAAATAATAATTATAAAACAATAAATATAAAACAAATTAAATTAATATTATTTAAATATAAGGAAACAAGATAGACACTTGGTTCCTTTTGAGAATATGCATAGAATCACTTTTTAAGTCGATTTATGCATGTCCGTAAACAAAGTACAGGTCGCATTTATGATCCGAAATTGGATGAAATTTGCCACAGCTCATTTATTTCGCCCAAGGACGAACCCTATTGAATTTGGGAAAAATCCGTTCAGATTTAGATATAGCTACCATATATCTTTTCGTCCGATTTTCCCTATATATATATCTCCTCCGATTTGCACTAAATTTGGCACAACGTACTGAAATGAGTATAGAATGATGAGTGGTAAGTTTCGGGAAAATCGGTTCGGATATATATATATATATATATATTCGTCGGATTTTATGTAAATGTTGCACCAAAGTCCCTATATATTCTTGGATTTGCACGAAATTTGGTATATCGTACTGAATTAAGTCTAGAACGATCTGTGTTAAATTTCGTAAAAATCGGTTCAGATTTAGATATATCTTCCATATATATTTTAGTCCGATTTTATGTAAATGGTGCACCAATGTATCTATATATCCTTCGATTTGCACGAAATTTGGCATAGGGTGTTGAATGAAGTCTAGAGTGATGTGTGTAATTTTCGTGAAAATCTGTTCAGATTTCGATATAGCTCCCACATATACATATATATTCTTCCGATATTACCTAAATAGTGCATGGGTGTCTGATTGAAATTATATTGTTAACAGTACAGCCTACCGAATAGCGTGTATCAACTTAGCTATAAATCGTTTTCCATAAATTTGTCCCATGATACGCAGACAACTATAAATCTGCCCGAATGAAATTAAATTTATTATAGATTGCAGAAAGACATGAGAATGAATGTAAGGATGCACATGCAATTGTAAGGATACTATGTAATATATACCCAAAGTGGTGAAGGGTATCATATAGTCGGCTCAATCCGACTTTACTATTTCCTTACAGGTTTCAGTTTTAAGTCGGGTGTTTTATTCACTTAAATAAAACAAAAACTCATTTTGAAATAATAATATATAGAAAAGGATTTTTTTTGTAAAATTTGTTTGAGTTCAGAATAGATATTATTATAACTAAAATAAACAATAGTTAAGAATATTAATTTGTTTTTTTTTATACAAAGTCCTTTATTTGGGCTCTCTAGTACAATCCATATTTTACTGTGTGTTTTGATTTGCAAAAATAATAATTAGTAATTTGCTTCACGGTATTTCTATATATAAATTATAATGAAAAATTTACAAAAACATTATTTTTGCCTTGGGATATTATAAAAATATAGTTAAGGTTAAAAATAAGTAATAAATAATAAGTTTAATCATATAGCCACCAAAATCTTTTTGGTTTTGGTTTTTGAGATATGGAAAAATCGTTATTAGATGCGTTAGTGTCAAATCTGAGATCAATTGCATGATTTGAACAATCTATAGCTATAGAAAATTATAATATATCGAAAAAAGAAATTAATAAATACATTTACATGAATGACTCTTCACCCTTAAAAGGCATAAAACTCAAAAATTCAGCGTGAGCCCGGCTGGGATTTGAACCCTTTTTCCCATGACATCTGGTGATTCTTGTCCGACGCCTTAGCGTTCAAAACCACCTCCTTATCTTCCTACGGTCGCACAATATGCAGTTGTATATCATTGAAGAAAAAATTATGTAGTCTGTATGGAAAAAAGTCCGTCACTACAAGAAAAATATACTCTGAAAAGGAATGTCCTGGTGTGATGCCAAATGTCCGAACCTTGACACGGTTGAATTTAATTCGTAGATGCAATTTCGCATAGTGGTGGGAATGTAGTATCTCTCTGGCTTTCCTTTTCATTGCAACTTCGATCATGTAGCTCATCTCGAAAAATAAATTAATAAATACATTTATGTGAATGTTCGTTCCTTCGCCCTAAAAGGCATAACACTTGGAGATTGTCTTAATTTTTTCGATTTTGAAAAATATAAAAATGGCTAGAAATAAATACAGTACACCTATAAAACAAATTATCAGTGATTATGGAAATAATTATCACAGAAAGTAATTTCGGAGAAATATTCAAAACTTTAAACCCACTAATACTTATTTTTGGAGGAGTTGAGCACGTGTCTATAATCGAGTGAACCGTTTGATAAGAATATTTGGTATTCAACAAGAATACCAAAACACACCACAATACCGACCTGAAAAAGTGGACCAATATTGACCATTTTTGGTAAGAAGACTTGTCACAAATTACACATAACAGCCATTTAGACTGGAAAACGCGTCAAAAATCTCCAAAATATAGGACATTTTGAGGTTCTTTTATAAAATGTGAACCGATATATCCCATATTAAATGCCAAACCTCCTGGAAATATAACAACAGACAGTCGGACGTAATTAAATCGACATTCCGAGTACCGTTGAATATTTCGAGGTGTTGCAAACGGAATGACATATTTAATTTACACCCCACATTAGGCGCAGGTTACAACACGTTAAACTGCTTTTTTGTCATTTCGCGTAGCCAGTGTTGGTATCTGTTCATAGGAGAAAGTCTTAAATACACGGCCGAAGGCCGCCCACTCAAAAAACTATTCTATTTTAATATTATTATTCTGTCACGCAGCCATTGTTGATATCTGTCTTAAATCCCCAGCCGAAAGCCGTCCACCCATGAACTATTCTATTTAAAAGGAGATTCTGTCGTGTAGACGGAGTTGGTATCTGTCCATAGGAAAAAATATATTTTTTTATTTTTTTTTTCCTTAGTGTTGGCGGTTTATTTGGGATACCATTTGTATTTTGTTTTTGCAAAATAGTCAGGCTGAATCCCAGTTTGTTGTTTTTATAAAAAAACAACTATTTATTAGTGGGGAATGTATGGCATTGTTTTCTTCCTTATATATAATATGAGTAGATGATTAAGTTAAAAAATATATTTTTTAATATATATCATGTGTTCGCATGTTAAATTGGTATATGTGTATTAGAAAATATATGGAAAGGCATTACTAATCGTGAAAAGGTATTAAAACTAAAGACAATATTTTAAATTCATTAAGGTCACAAAAATGTATAACTTCATTACTCTTAATAATCTGTATTTGAAATCTAACCTTTTATTTTTAGATTTTTTAGTTATGTGAGCAGCATTTACTTTAGATTTATGTATAGACATAAGAGCGTGGGTTTGCATTTGATTTTTCACATATCACCATAAATAGGGTAAAAATGTCTACCTCAGGAAAAAATTCGAAAAATCTGTTTGTTTTTACCAGAATTTCAATTTCAATTTATTTCATAAACGAGAATCTAGCCCAAAGGGCCAAAAGCGATTCAAAAAACAACAAAATATAAACTACTCCAAAAGCTTCAAACTAACAGTGTATTAGCTTAATGTTATCTTAACGACTATTCAGTTGGAGGGGTTCAGAACCATTGTACTTCAAAAACATTTTTATTATTATTATT